CTAGGACAAAGATGACGATGTCGTCAAGACAACACAAACACATGTGCGGCGTAAAATCGTAAAATGCTGTCCATCATTACTGTGAATTCATATAAGCCATTCGACGTAACAAACTCTGTTTTAGGACGGTTACACTCTGCCATGGGCACCTGCAATAACCTGAGTGCAAGTCCAATGACGAAGAGTATTTAGCCCCTTGTAAGCAATATATGGCGTCATCGATTCGGGGAAGAGGGTAGGCATCTTTCTGCGTGATTTTGTTGATACGAATCTATGCAAAATCTAGTGGAACCATCTTTTTTCCTCACGAGCACTACAGGTGAAGACGACAGACATAAGGAAAGCGTGATGACACTGTGTTGAAGCATGTCATTCACTTGCGTCGCAGTGATATCACATTCTGCTGCTGACACATGGTATGGGCATTGTTGCGAAGGAGTGTGACTTCATGTCAATAATATGAGCAACAGTGTTGGTTTGACTCGGTGGCTTTTGGGGAAAGTCGAGTGAATATCGAAACTCATAAAGAAGCGTTATTAGCTGTGCCCGTTGATTCTCAGGGAGCGGCGCACTGTCGATGGAGCAATAATAGAATGAATACTTTTGAGCAGCCATCATCTATAGTAAAACGAGGAGTCACAACATTCAGCTGAAATTTCGGGCCAGTCTTGCGGGGTTCAATGGGTCTAATGGCGTTTAGATCGACAGATTGGGTGGGGCCAAGCAAATCATTACTGTGTAAAACGAGAGGGCATAAGCTGGGGTTGCAAACGAATAGTCCACTCATATGGTGATGGGGCGATAGAACGGCAAATGGCAGTGAAGTACTGTGGCGGCGACTAAAAACATTGGATGGCATGAAGATGTGCCAGAAAATTTAGTACAATAGACAGGAACTATGATGGAACAAAGAGGTGGGACGCTAGTGTCGGTGGCAACAACAAGCTCGCCGACATGAGATTGTTCTGTGTCTGTAGACAAAGCATCACAACATCCAGAAAGTTCCACCATAGTAGGAGCGAAGTCAATGACAGCATGGTGGCGTGGCGAAAAATCCCATCCGAGTATCATATCATGCGAACACGTAGCCAAGGCGATAACTGTCTGAATGATGACTCTGGCCGTACATGCTCCAACCAGTTGAATTTGTTGCGCGCTTACTGTACTGAGCGAAAACCCGGAAGGTGGCGTTATGACTTTCCTTATAGAGCGACAAAGTTTTCGGCTCATCACGGATAGGGCAGCTCCGGTACCCACAAGCGCAAAAGTATGCAAACCTTCGACGAACATTTTTGTAACATTGATGGGGCCCAGACAGGGACTTGGCACAGTGTGACGACGACGCAGCTTGTGCCTTCGGAGCTGTGGAAATTAGTGTTGTTTGTCTGGCGACAGAGATGTGTGTTTTGGTGAGGGTGAATGATGGGAAGTAGACTACTGCTACTCGGAAGTGCGTCGGCAGTCTCGTTACGCTGGTAGCAGTCCACGATCAATTGGCAGTTTGTCATGTTGAAGTGGCAGTTCTTGTTGTGCGTCGTACAGGGCCCGGTAAGAGCAGTCGGAGTATCTCTGTGCAGCTGAGGTCACTGCGAAGTGCCGACAACAGAAGCACACGGCATAGCTTGAATACCCGCATGCGTAGCAAAAGGGGCGGTTGTCAGCTGTATGCCACGGGTTTCTGTAGCACTGTTGTGTACTGGGCGTCTTTGGCACTCGCACAGATTGAGACGTCGACAAAGGTAGCGGTCGCGGTGGGCTTGCAGTAACAGCTGCGTAAGTTAAGGGCATGGCAACAGGTGTTGCCTGAGAGGCGGACGGCAGTGCCTTAGAAACTTGCTCCTGTATCACCTGCCGGATGGCGGGTGCGAGATGCTCAGTAGTGGCATCAGCTGTCGGTAAATACGACAGGCACGAAAGGTGTTGAGCCACTTCCTCGCGAACAAATCTCTTGATTTCTGACATTAGCATTGTTTCTTGCACACCACCGAAGGTCAATGCCACGAGAGTTTCATCTGTAGCCGCTGCCCGCCGTGTCAAGGCTCGATGTTTTCACAGCTCCTCGAAGCTCTGGCATAGAGGGGCTAGTTTAGGTACGGTCCGTGGGCCCTTGGTCAGCAGCATCTGGAAGGCGTCGTCTATGCCCTCCAAAATGTGTCGAATCTTGTCTGCCTCTGCCATCGAAGGGTCAAGGCACTTGCACAGGTCGAGCACGTCTTCAATGTAGCTCGTGAAGCCTTCTCCCTGCAGCTGCGCACGCCCCCGTAGGCGCTGTTCAGCACGGAGCCTACGTACCTCGGGGCTGCCAAAGACATAGACAATTCGTTGCTTAAAAGCAAAGTGCCAAATGCGGACTGGTGGTTGTTGAACGAGAGGCTCGCGACCTCTTTCACGTAGAAGGCAACATATTGAAGCTTCGAAGTGTCATCCCGCTTGTTGCTCGCGCCCATCTTTTCAAAGGTCGATAGCCAATCTTGGACTGCATGGTCATCTGTGCCATTGAAGAACGGTAATGCGGTGGTCACAATGACTATCGGAGGCTGAGTCTGGGTACTGTCTTCTGGCTAGGTGTTTTCGTCATCCATTTCTGGGGGAGTGGGCAGTCCCCTGTTGCGCAGTTCTAGCTTGTATACCCCGCACCTCCATCACTCTGAAAAGGGGTTTATTGGTACAAGTACAGCACTTGAGCGTGAGGCTTACGGATGCTGAGAGCGGATGATGACAACCAGCACATGAATCAAAGCATGGATCACAATAGCTCGTGCTCGGCTCTTCAGGCTAAGGTCGTGGCCCACTAGGGCATATCACTCTTCTTCCTCCTTACAATTTGAAAAACATTACCCACCAAGAAAGATTTTTAGTTTTGGGAACAGGTGGTAGTCCGACAGGGCCAAGTCAAGAGAACAGGGTGAGTACTCTAACAATTCGTTCTTCAGTTCATTCAATTTAGCCATTGTAAGATGCCCTTTGGGCACCGGTGCATTGTCTTAAAAGATAGTTTTCTTTTCCTGCAAACTTGGTCTTTTCTCATGAATATTCTGATTGAATTGAGGTTAAAGGTCAGAATAATGCTTTCCAGCTATGGTTTTACCCTTTTCTAGATACAGTCGACTCTCATTAATTCAAACTCGAAGGGACCTCGGAATTTTTTTTTGAATTATCAAGATGTTCAAATTATCAGTAGTTATCAGATATATGACTCTGGGTGAAGTGACACCACAAATTATGATAAGGCATTGATTTTATCACATTGAAAAAAAATTTAAGTGTTTTTTATCGCTAACTGCACGGAATGAACAGAAAGCAGAGGAGTAATGTCCACAAGTTTTTCGGCCATTTATTGCTGATCAGATTTTTAAAGAAATCATGAATCGCCAACTGCTTCTTTGCTATAGGTATGTACTTTCAGCACAAAGCTCTTTATACCAGCTAAGAAGCATCACGGTTTACCGTGCGTGTGCTTTGTTTCAAACACTCGTTTGCTAGCAAAGCCTTTTCTTTGAAGGCCTGAAGTGCTTATTTTTCATTTTTTGACTGTTAAGATTATATAAGCATGCAAATTTTCAAACAGTTGTGGGACTGGTATGGAACTGCAAAAAGTATGAATTAACTGAATGATGGAGTTTCAATTAAGGAGGCTCTCAAATACAATGAAAGAATAGAGGGCCAACAAAAAATTGTGAATTTTGTTTGAATTGACCGAAAGTATGAATTATCATAGTTTGAATTATCGCGAGTCTACTGTAATCCACAAGCAGAATGCCTTTAGCGTCCCAAAAAACAGAGGCCATCATCTTTCCTGCAGAAAGAACTGACTTGGCTTTCTTTGATGCAGAGGACCCGGCTTCAGTCCACCGCTTAGATTGTTGTTTCAATTCTGCTATGTAATGGTGAATCGGAAGTTTCATCCATTGTTATAAATCTCTGCAAAAGTCCGCTAGATTTTTGTTATACAGCTCCAAAGCATGCTGTGACATCGTCGTGTGCTTGCATTTTTGATCAGGAGTAAGGATGTGCGGCACCCATCTTGCACAGAGCTTTTTCATGTATAGTTTGTTGTGCAAAATGTGACCTACACGTTCCTCGGAGATGCCAACAGCGCCTCGACAATTTCGCGCAACTTCACTCTCCTGTCTTCTAAAACAATATCGCGCACACAATATATCAATTCAGGAGTTGTTGCGCTTTTTTGGTGCCCTTTGCGCAGATTATCTTTAATGCTCTCTTTCCTCTGCTTAAACTCAGCAGCCTATTTCTTGACTGTGAAATCTGAAGGTGAATCTTGCTTGTAAACTTTTGCAATCCTTTGGTGAATTTCATTCGGAGATAAACATTCTTTTACAAAGAACTTTATCACCGTACGGTACTGAAGCTTCTCTATGCCTTACGGTGCTTCGCACTACACCTACTGTGATCGACTGTGAGAGCCAAACTGCTAATTGACACTAGATGGCATTTCATCTCAGACTTGCAAACTTGTATGAACGTTCACATGACTGCTGCAAGTTCTAGCTCGTGTGACTTTTATTAAGGCTGAGAACTTTCCAGGCCACCCTTGTAGGGTAACTTAGTTTTGAGAATTTCTAACTCGGCTTGCACATTGACAAGGTCAGTATGGTCAGCAAAGTGGGTGTGCTTTTTTTTAATTCACAGCAAATAAACAGCATACAGGCTCAATTTATTGGAAGTAACAATAGTTTGTTATAAAAGTCCAGGCACTATTCTTTTTATTGCTGTGTGTGTGTGTGTGTGTGTGTGTGCACGTGCGTGCGTGCATGCATGTCTGTCATACATGCACATATGTGCACACACACAAATATTGCAGTTTTTGCATATTGCAGAAATTATATGGTGACATTCTTTTACTGGCATGTATCGTGAAATATTTTTTTTACGCAGCTGGTGACATTTTTTTTTTCTGAAGTTTGACATAGTGGCAGGAGTTTTAGGTGACAACATGCAGATAATTGCCACCTAGAATTGTGCACTCCTGTTGGTTGTAGTTTCGGCTGCGGCTGGTGGCATCAGATAACCTCAACGAGAACCACACAACAGTGCTCATCAAGGTCAAGGACGTCAATGACAATGCTCCCATCTTTGATCGTCCCACATATGAGGCCCAGATCACTGAGGAGAATGACCGGAACCTTCCTCAGAAGATACTTCAGGTCCACTTCCATCGATGGACATGCTTATTGCTTGCTTGTGCCTTTTTTTAGTGCCATTTATAGAGCATGCATTTTTGCTTTTATTGTGTCTATATGCACGTACTATGTGTGCTTTATTTATGTGCAAATACCTGAAGCTTGGCGGCCAGCCACTCAGGATATCCCTGCTTATCAAGACCAAGACAGAGAAAGGACGCCTTCTTTACTTGCTATAAAGGTCACATAACTCGGATATGTACTCTAAAGCTCCACTGCTGACATTGCCTATTCATTGTTTTAACAGTTATAGCAGTGTTGTTAGGGTTTCAGAAAATAGGTGTAGGCATATGGTTTGTTGTGCCGGCTTTTTGCGAAAGCCAATGGCCCTGACATGTTGTGCATAAAGTACGAATATAGACACAGTTCTTGCTGCACATGTAATTTTTTTTGTTTTTGTTTTCGTCGTGGTAGTTCTCAAAGTTCTGTGTATGATTCAGTGGCCTATGCATCTGTTGTCTTGATTCATGAAGCATCATGGATGTTGTGTTTGCAGCATTGCTTTTATTTTGTGCTTCCCGTCAAGCTGAATTCGGTTCTGTGTGGCACACATCTGTCTGCTTGTGCCTGAGCAGGTATCTTGTCAATTCTCACCCCTTATTTATTCTTCTATAGCTGAGCTTTATTCATTGAAATGCCTTTCCATTATAAGCATGAGATCATCAGAAACTTATGATTTTGTAGGTGTGTTGTGATGTTTGCCGCTTGACAAAACACCATCTAGCCTGGTAGTGTTTTGCCACTAATGGTGGCCTAGCACTGCATGAGTGGCATGTGTTGTCTGAGTATGCACTTTTTGTTTTTTCTTCTTCCCTGCCCTTGGCCTTGTGCTGCTGTGGTGCCAGTTTAACTTGACACTGGTGGCATCGGATACCCTATTTGAGGGCAGCACCACAGTTCTTATCCACGTCAAAGATGTCAACGATCTTCCACCTGTTTTTGGCCAATCCTCGTACGTGACCACCATCGAAGAGGAGGTCTCCCACAATTTGCCAATGAAAATTATGACGGTATGCATAGCCTGTATCTAAACAATATCGGGAGCAACTTGAAGTTTGAGGATAAGGTTGAAACCAATGTACATGAAAATTTAACAGTTGTAACTTTCTTAGTGAAGTTCCTCCTTGTGCTTTTCCTTCAGTGAGATAGCGTGTTAGCTGTGGAGACTCATTTGGTGGTTCTCTCCTCTTGGTAACTTGATCCAGACTACATCATTTGAATGTGTACTTTATTTTATTCATGCTATATAATAATAATGTATGTAAAATTTGTAACATTTTTTAAAATTTTTTGCTCAAAGAAACATTGTTAGTTACTTTTACTGCTTTCCTGCTAGATTTAGTTCATTCTAAGTTCAGAGATGAACGCATAAATGCCTTGTCACTGAATAAGTTTCTTTTCATAGAATGTGATTTGTTTTCGCTCATGTTTCCTATTCTTTTGCCACAAAGGCTTTCAACAAAATTTTAATTGCTACATTTTCAGAAAACTGAATTAATGCTTTTAGGTTTTGAAAAACATTTGGATCAGGAAACACAAAACTGGTTCTTTGGTTTGAAAGTATGAACTCCTTTTTTTTCCTCTAAAAAAAAGGCAAGGGTTTAATCAATTTGCCAGGAAAGTGAAAATTGCTACTCCTAAATTAGAGTTCCTATTTTTCGATTCTGTAGTTAATATGCAAGAATGCAACACTAGTTAATATGCAAGAATGCAACACTGTAGTGTTTGATTTGTGTTTTTTTCCTCTTCTATTTTCTTATTATTACTTACCATACTAAACCTCTCATGCCTTGCATCTTTGCTGCTTCATAATTTCAGTCTTGATGTCTGGTGCTCTTATAATTAAATATGGCTATCCAGTTTCTAGAACATTAATGGCTCCTTATGGCATCCTTGTCTTGGGAAGGTGAGAAAAGCCTGACATGCTTCTTACTGCATCCTAGGAATCTGGTCTGTGATTCCATACTTGCATGACCTCTTATTTGCACCGTTTATGCTGCCCTCTGAATATTTCACTTGCTTGGCATGTAGCATTTTGCTTTTCTGTCGACTCTTTCACTGTGATTTAGGTTAAGGTTCTGCATGATACATTCTTTAGTATGTTAAGTAGTTCTTTCGATAACGCAAATTGAACAGTGAATTTCCCCTTTGTCTCCCTACACTAACAAACATAAAACTAATGTACCTCATCACTCTTCTACTGTTACTAATGAGTGTCAACTGTTATAGCTTGCAGAGTATGCTGCATTCACCAGTTCACAAGACAGTACTCAACACTAGTACTGATAAACATACGAAAAACACCTTGTGTTAACTGTGGCATAATGATCTGTGTGAGCAGTATCAAGTATGAAACCCTCCATTGAAGACGCCCTTCTAACACTTTTCAAGTGCCATTTTTTTTTCATTTGTGGGTACTCTAGGCTAATAATTGAAAATAATAGTAGCATCATTAAGAATATTGATGTGGGATTGTTTAGTGTTTTAATAATACAGAGAAATCAGTGATTCTCTGGCGACTGCATCAGTGTGTGGTGACACTCGCCTGACGAATTTTCTTACGGATACGGCATTACGATACGCTAGTCATCTATAATCGGCTAAGAGCAAATTTGCAGGTAGTAATCACTTCGCTATCCACAGAATCTTGCTTCAGGTTTGCTTTTAGTCTGTCATGCTGGCTTTTTGTACTAATGGCATTAGAAAAAAGAAAGCTCTTCATTTACAAAACATGATAGGGTTTCTGTAGCATGGTCTATTGCCTCAGAGCAGAAGGCAATGAGCACACAAGGTGTGTATTTGTGGAAGCTTTCCTTCCGGCTTCTGTACCTTAGTGAGCGGCCTAGTTTTGTATAGCAGTACACTCATGAGGGTTGTCGACGAGGGTAATGTTAATGATCTCAATCCATTGTTCCTTACTATAAAGGCTAACTTATGCTGAACAGGTTTTTCAAGCTCTGCCACTGGCAGGGCTGCACTGCATGAGTAGGCAAGAAAGATGGGCCAATATGACTCAAGAAAAATAGGGCTGAAGGCAGGCTTTGTTTTCTTAGGTTGAATAACTTTTGATCACATCCTTCGTCACTGTCATTTTTGCTGTATTTACCTGTCCATCTTTCACTGTAGGCATTCCACAAATGAGAAAAAGGGGGCTTGAAAAGAGTCAAGAGGGCAGTTTCAATTTCAGCTTTTCACAATGCCAAATTTCTATACCAAGTTAAAAAAAGTAATTTGTCGAGGATCATTATCAAGATCATCATGCTTGTCCATAAGTATTTCTTCGGCACTTTGGAAATGACCTCTTGTCAATGCAACACATCAGACAAAAGAAGCATGCACTTTCATAACCAGATCATTGCATTTTAAATAGTATAAAATTTTTTTCAACTGGGTTGTTCAGCAAGTAATTGAACACCACTGTAGATGAGCCAGTAGAATTTTTCCGTTTCATTCTTCATCCAATTTTTCTTTTTTCTATAGTCTACTGCACTGAACTCCCTTTTCTGACATACTTTTCCGATATTCCAGGTGACAGCAACTGATGGCGACAAGGACAGAGAGTCCTTGATAGTTTACTTTCTGACGGGTCAAGGTGTTGATGAAGACCCTGGTAACAGCAAGTTCGCAATCAACACAACCACTGGAGAGATATATGTACTAAAACCATTGGACAGGTAAATAGAATGTTCACATGCTGCCCCAATAAGTGACATGTACCCTAGAAGCAGATTATATACTTTGATTGTTTACTTCGAAACTGAGTTACTTGCAGCACTTAATGCAAGATTACTCATTTACCATTTTTGCACCATAAAAATGAGAAATGCTCCATTGTAGGTCACGGCGGTAGGTTACAGCGCTCGGCTGCCAACGTTGGAGGTCATCGTTTTGATCACGGCCGCGGCAGTCGCATTTTGGTGAATGCAAAATGGCAGAAGCCCAAGAACTGTGGGGTGTTAGTACATGTTTACAAACGCCATGTGGTCGAAAATTTCAGAGGTGAACGCTATGGTGCTAAGCTCTGGTTTAGGAACGTATAACTGTAGATATTGTCACGTGCGTCCTGCGAGAAAGACGAAGGCGACAGTGCATACGCGCATCTGCACGCTTTTATGCAGAAAGCAACAACGAGAAAGACAAGGAACTCTCTGGCAGGCAGCAAATAAAAAGACCGATCCGCTGCTGCTTTCTCAGCTTCTTCAAATACGACCTCTGTCTTCATGTCGCAACAAGATTATTATTGTTATTATTATTATTATTATAAAATGCATTGTGCTACTACATTGCTGTTAACATATTCGTACAGCCATTCATGGACAATGTGCTCATGATCTATGTTAGCGTAGTTGCTATTACAGTCATGTGGTGCCTTTTCTTTAGTTCAGTTTTGTTATTTTGTTCAGATAAACATCAATTTTTTTTCTAATGACTGGTATGCACTATGTGTGTGTGCTCAGCACCATACTCGCAACTTTCTTAACATAGATGATTAAGAATTACCTTTTTTTTTACTAATATCTCATTTACTTTGGTGAGGCACAAATTACTCACTTCAATGAATTATATTTTTAGTTATATAACCCTAATGTGTTATTTTATTTCTGTAACAAGTGCAAGTTTCTGTCTGGCTTGTATCAGTGTATCTAGCCTCCTTTACATAGCCCTTTTTGGATAGCCTTGATGCAAGAAATTTGTGCAAAATGTAGGTTTTTGCAAAAGTCACTTGCTTTGGTTTGAAATAAATGGTATTTAGCATCAAATCATTTTAAAGGAAATGTGAATCGAAGCAGGATAAACTTGCTTAGTGCAGATCTTGCTACTTACTATTTGATTCTTTTTGAAGAAAATTTTACTTTTCCCTTACACTCTGAAGAAAAAAAAAAAGAATAATAAAAACAAAAAACTAAAAAGTAAGCAAGGTTGCAAAATAAGCTTTCGTTAAAGCTCGTTTTTAACATAAAAAATTTAATCATGGTGCAGGTGATATAAGCACATAACCTTTAAGTGGGGATGTGCAACAGTACAGATTTTTTTCTGAATCGACCGGTTGGAATCACTTCTAGGAAACGATTGGTTTCCAATGTCTTCATTTCCATCGTTTTCGGTTTCAATGTGTAGTCTTGGAAGAAAAGGACATTTATTGTAGCGTAAAAGTCAAAAAGAAAGATCCGAGCCCAGTTTTGGTTTCAGATTTGTCTCTCTTTGAAGTGAAGACTTCTGATCTCGATTTCGAGAATCTTTGTCCATTTCGTACGTGCTGGGCCTTTTAACATACGTATTTTGTATTTTGGTTAAGAAAATATTTTCTCGAAGTCGCAGTCACTGTTCACAATGCAAAGCAATATCATTGCTATGTACCCTAGTTGGGATAGTGTGCAGTGCCATCCTTCGAATAGGTCAGCTTATGACTACAGTTCTTGAAGCTTCATTCTAGCAGATATTGTTGATATTCATCCTTTCGAAGACTGTACATTGCTACTTACTGGACTTGGCATGGAGGCATAAAAAATTAATTTTCTGAGTCTGCTTTTCCAACAGGTGTTGAGAATTGTGCTGAGCCAGCTTACGATGTGATTGTCATATATATCATAGACATTTATCCACAATTTTTTTACCAATACCTGACAGATTGTGCGATATTTCTCACAGTGTGATGTATCTTGACCAATCACACAAAGTGGGTCGCATTGATTAGTTTTGTCGTTGTAGTTTTTCTTGGCCTTGAGAAATGCATGGTAAATGGAGAAGAAATTAAAAATTTTCAATTTATGCTGAACTTAATGGTTATTGTGTTTTAGTAAAAACAAACAGCACTATTTACTTTGAAGAAGTTTTAATTTTCCTAGAGTGGCCTTTTAAAAGCCTCTAGCACCCAGATACCAAAATTTAGCTGTGGTATTGCAGTTGTGCATGAATCTACAACAAATGCGTAGCCATGAGACTTCTTTTAAAAATGTCACCATAATAGCAGAGCTAGACATGTGGGATGACAGAAGTGTGGCAGTGTATGTTTCGCTGTTTTCTTTGCTCTGCTCCATTCTTTGGCTCTTTTCTCTTCCTGGCTGAGTGTTCGAGCAGGAAAAGCAGGGCACACATGTAGCTGCAGGCAAAACAGCATGTTTTGTTTGGCTGACGAGATCAGATGTTGCCTAGTGATTTTTGACCACCTGTATGGTATCAAAAAAGCCCAGAGAAATGCACAGGAGAGAGAGAATATAATAAGAGAAAGGCAGGGAGGCTAACCAGAAATTGGAGCATTCAGTTTGCTACCCTGCACCAAGGGAAAAGGGAATGGGGGAATAAAGATGAGAAAGAAAGCAAAGAGCAAAATAGGCACGTAAAAAAAAAGAATAGTGAGCAGGGGTGCTATAGCCTATTCAATAGGCCACTACCACACAAAAAGATCAATAAGGCCTTCACTGATTTTCTGTTCAAAGACAGATCATGTCGGCTTTCAAGCACTGACTGCTCTTTAGTGTTAGCTTGCCTGTCGTCAAGGCAAGCTAACACAGCAGCTAACGGCCGTCATTGCATGCTGCAGCGAGGCCAGTGACAGAGAACAGGATTTTTTTCTGATGGTGCGGTACTGCCGCTGCGCAACGCTACATGTGGCGCTGTTGGCACTGCGGCATTTGGTACTTTTAGCAGCGCATGTTAGCAGGGCATGTGTTCAGATAAGCCTTTTCTGTTACCTATGGGTAGCCTTTAGGGGGCTGCAAAGTAAATTTAAAAGTTGTTTATTTCTTATAGAAGATTAAGCAAAAGCACTTCATGTTGTTGCATTGTATGTCTTCCATTGCTTTCTCTGTTGTTTGCCATTATTTCGCAGGGACCTTCCACATGGGCGTTCCCAGTGGCGCTTCACTGTCTTTGCGGAGGATGAAGGGGGCAACGGTTTGGTGGGCTTTGCGGACGTTCTCGTCAACCTCAAGGACGTCAATGATAATGCCCCCTTCTTCCCATCAGCAATTTACACTGGCAATGTCACAGAAAATGGAACAGCTGGTAAGGGAATAAAGGCTGTTTTCTTCATTGTTCTCTCTGTTGTTCAAGAATGTATGCACAAAGAAAATGTTAAGTATGTTGTTTTAACACTTTGGCTAACAACTCCCAGAAAGTGTTTATCTATCCAGGTAAGAGTTATCAAGTTGTGCGTAAGAGAAAATTGTTCAACAGAAAATATGTGACTTTTCTCCTTTGTGATGAAAAAGAAAATGGCAAGGCACACTTAATACAGAACATTTTTATAACTGGCAAGTCAACTAATCCAGAGATGTATGGCACAATTTAATACAGCCATAAAAACAGATGTAATAAATTTGATTTCTATGTGTTATATTTATGGCCAGATAATGTCCTATTAATGCCACAAGTTTTTGGCATTGTTTTATAAAACATCTGTGCAAATTTAAGCAGAAAGCACTCATCAGTATTTTTTCGAGCCAAACACCAAAGAATGGTTATAAATGTACCAAGCTACACTCTTCTATCACAAAGGAGACCATAAGAATAATAGTAATATCCATAGTTTTACATTCCAAAACCACAATATGATTATGAAAGACGCAGGTGACCATAAGAAAGGCGGGCTAATTTTCTTGCTCTGCTAGTTGATGTAATGTATCACTAAATGAAAATGTAGGTGGCAGCATATTCTTAAGTTGTCTAACCTTTCTGTTTAATGTCTGTTAGTGTCTATTGTCTGTCCTGACATCACTCTGTTCTAGAGACAATTATGCTGAACTATAGTAAGTTGAGAATAAAGGAGGTGCTGCTTACGAGAGGAAAAAAAAAAACGGAAGATAATGTCATGTTCCTATCATTTGCCTCTCTGCACTTAGAAGAAACTGGCCCCTTATAAATCTCACCTGCATCAAGAGGAGGGGCCTTAGCATTTCAACAACATGGTCAGCAGAAGCCAGAATCACAAGCAGCGCTCAGACACTGTTCCTCCTTCTTATGTTGGGAGATCTATTTTAGATATAGTATGTGAGAGCACTTTAAAAAACTTAGCAGTGAAGCCTATCATAAGTGCACCCTTTACTCTTTGTTTTATATATATATATATATATATATATATATATATATATATATATAAGGTGGAAGTGTGCTGGGTACGCAAACCTGGAACTTCAAAGCCGGAAGCTGCCCACTGCATCAGCAATGCCTGATCAGACGACCGAGCAAGGTACCACCCTGCAAAGCATGGCCCAATCTCAACTGGTCATCGTACCTACTACCCAGCACCTCCACCACTTCGCAAGGGAGTTTAATAGCGACGCCAGGTAGTAGGCAAGCAGCCGGTACGGACCGAAATGCTCGAGCAGTCCAGCGTCTACAGCTCGTGAACCCCCTCGCGCTTCGCACTCAGAGAGAGAGATGGTCCCACTAGGCAGTACCTTGCGAATTCCCCACTACAATATATATATATATATATATATATATATATATATATATATATATATAAGATATGATTATTGGCATCGCTATGTCTATATAATGCACTATAAGTACAGCATATTATTGCTGCATCATACAGAGCTAATCAACACTATTTTTATATTGTCTTGACCATTATTTTCCCATGCTCATTGAAAATTCAGTTTATTTAGGTTCGAATGAAAGAAGGAGGTCTTGAAACTATTACTAACTACTACAAGTCAATAGGTGTATACCTTGTGGCTTCAGTGTTTTATGCCATTTTGTTTATTTATTTGTTTACAATTTGTAATTGGGACATTTTCAGGTATGACTGTCATGACAATGACTGCTACAGACTATGACGATCCCAACGAAGGCAACAATGCAAGACTTGCTTATTCCATCGAGCAAAATCAGGTTAATGAAAACGGGGAACTCATTTTCACCATCGATGAAGAAACCGGTGTTATCTCAACAGCAGTCTGCTGCTTAGATCGTGAGACAAACCCAGAGTACACCATCAAAGTAGTGGCAGTTGACGGTGGAGGGCTCAAAGGTATGTTTGCAATTTCATTCTTTCGCTTGATGCACTTCATTTGGCAGGTGGCCTAATGGTCGAGAACCTATAATTATGTAAAATATTTCAGTTAAATCTCATTATAATGAAGCCACAGCAGCATTAGAAAATTTCATTATTTTGTGAATATTGTTTAATCGAGGTAGACCGTAAACAGATGTCAAATTTCTGGAATACTAGCCCTACATTTCATTAGTAAACATACTTTTAAAGGGACACTAAAATTAAATAATAACTGACATTAGAGTGAAAGATCAATGTTTGAGAACACCTAAAGCAGTGCTCTACTAATCGAAAAATTAAGGTAAATGTACGGCGCCATATGTGCCACAAGTGAAATATTTTGCAATGATCCCAATTCTTCCACATGCCAAAATAGTGTACAGCACTTCAGCTACAACTATGAAACCAACTTGACTTTCTACTGGGTGTCACAAAATTAACCCCTATGCTTGAAGGGGCTGAGTGCTGTGCCTCTGTTCCAGCATCGCGAGCTAATGTCATGTCAGGTTTTTTGGCAACATCCATTGTGATAAGCTTCAATGGCCATTGTTGCTACTATGGCCTCTGCAATTTCGCTCTGCTGCTACCAGTGTCGGTGGCCATGCAGTAAAGGCGGGCAACTGCTGCATTAGAGGGTTCACCATTCACGCGGTTGACTTGAAGTGCTCTAACGTCATGCAGACCACTAAAATGTGATTTTATTTCAAAATAAGCATTTCCTTGGCACGAAAATAGTAGTAAGAGGTTTCTGGACTGCTATTTCAACACTCAACGTTACCTTAATAGTTGCCTTTAGTGTCCCTTTAAGAGCAGCAGCCAAGAAAATGAAAACAGAGTATTGAAATTTCTTACCACGACAGCTGAGACAAAACTCTAGTAGAAACAATTCCGGCATTCTTTCACTACTGTGTGACTGCACATGATGGTATGCAAAGGAGCATTTTAAAACTGGGATCAAATGCATGGCAGCAGAAGAGACGAGTCATCCAACATTCCTCAATGCGAGTTAGCATGTTTGTACAGTGATTTGCAACTAGAAGGTTATTCTAATGACATGTAAGATGCTCAAATGACAAATGACAGCTGCTAAATATTGCAGCATGTCATTTGTTTTACTGTATAATTTCACTACCTGTATTGCTGTGATATCTTGGTGCTTTTTATGCATTTGCCAAGTGACAACATTCATTGCAGGTACCGGGACCGCCACAATCAAGATCAAAGATATCAATGACATGCCGCCAGAGTTTACCAAAAAAGACTGGTTTGTAGATGTTGAAGAAACTGAAGCAGACAATATTCCTGAGAACCCAATCTTGGTTGTATCAGTCAACGATGGAGATTTACTAGAAACTAATCGGTTTAGCTACAAAGTTATTGACAACACATTTGGCTCTGATAAATTCACTATGGTCACCAATTCTGATGGAACTGGATCACTGAAGATTGCCAAGGTGTGCATATATTATTTACTAAGCCTACCATAGTTTTATTGCATATGACCATGGTTCAAAGTTTTTCGGTACTCTTCAACCTGTTCTCTTTTTCCTCCAGATGCATTTTCTTTTTTCAGGGCTTCTTGTGTTATGTGTACTGAAGCTGTACTTTAGAATTGATACATATGTATTCTAGCTACTACAGTTGAAACTCAATGTAACCTAGTTATTGGGGTGCTCTTAATATTTGGTTAAATTGGGAAGTGTGAAAATCAAAAAAAGGATTTTTCAGATCTTCAAAATCTAAAATTAAAATGCAGCAACAACCAAACGAGACCAAGCTATTGTGCTGTACATGCACTTCTGAAAAGTTGAGGGGGCTGGCCCTTACATGAAATGTCTCCAGTGGTGGTGCCCTCTATGTCAACCAGACATAGGGGGAACTATGTCAGGGCCAAGCTGGCTAGAAAGAGGGTAAATTAATGGCAGTGAAATGACATGCAGAGACGCTGAAAATGAATGAAGTGATTATGTGATCTGGTCATGCCAGAAAGTTGCAAGGAAAAGATTAGTGTCATGAAATCACAAAACCAACCACCGCTGCCCATAGCATTATACACTATGTAAGAGCACAGCTGACTGCCAAATCCATTGCTCCATGCATGGGTGTGGTGTGCAGCCTTGTCAAACTAAAGCTAGGGCTATGAGTGGGGCGCCAAGACATTTTAATATGATAACGGTAGACCACACACTCGAATAAAAACCCTTCTCTGCAAAATTGGTAGGAAACATGCAGCTTTTGTTTTTCCTCGATTATTTCTGGAAAAGCTTCAATAAATTCGGTTTGGCGGCCAAGCCAGTTCATTAGTTTGGGTTGATGGTGACACTGAGCCCTATGAGCATTAGTATCTGGGGAATCGAAGTTCGTTAAATTGGGAACTCCCTAGAATCTTGTTTCATTTGAGTTTCATCTGTAACGTAAATTTCTCTAGTTGCTGTATGTTGTGTGTATTCTTACTATTGGCACATTGCGTTAACAGGATTTTCAATGTGGTGCTTCAGGATGGACCATTTTAGTAACACTGCAGCATGGATTTTCTCTTTCCAGCCTCTTGACTATGAGGATTTGCAGCAACGGTTTGGCTTCAATATCACTATTCAAGTTAGCGACAATGGTGGTGAATCCACTGATCCGTACCATGCGGACTATGCTAAAGTGAAAGTCAGAGTTAAGGACATAAATGACAACAAACCAGAGTTTGAACGTCCTAACATTGAAGTGTCAGTCCCAGAGAACTCCACTGTTGGCTCAAGTCTTGCAACATTCAAAGCCACAGATGCTGACCAAGGCGGAAAGTCACGTGTCAGGTAACTTTACCATTCATCCTCTGGCTTGATATTATTACATCGGTATTTATTGCATATAACCTATACGACTAAAAGCGATTTCCAGGTACCCTCCGATTTCTATGCTCTCTTTGATATTCTTTGATTTGAAAGCCAAGGTTCGTGCATTGCGTGCAAGATGGCAGAATGAAAGTGTATAGGACACATGTCATTTCGTGAGCTCTGCCCTAATTGTGACCAATTTTTTCAATTTCTGTTGCTCAATTTTAAGTTCATTTCACATTCGTGGGATGTCAGTAAGCTATGCCATACAAAAAGGTACAATGCCCAGTTTCCCCCTTAGGCAGCAATATCAACTCTTTGAACATTGCTTATGCACCAGTACATTCTCTCACTCTCACTTCACCCGGTCGTGCGCAATGTTGTGTGCAATTTTTTGTATCTTTCTAAAAATTTTCCTCCCTCCAAGTTTGTGCAGTGTGAGATGTCATGAGAGGCTGCCGAACATGTTGTGAAATGGGCATGCTTGCATTGTGCTGTGCTCAAGAATCTATGGAGACACGACTTGCACGGTTCGTGCGCTGCTGTTAAAGGATTTGTAGTGTACACGTATCCCGAAGGAGTACGGTCACTAGCGTGGGTTCGGTCCTGGCGAGCCGCAGGGCACGCGTTAGCCATCGCCGTGGCAAGAACACAGTACTGCTCAAGGTCTCAACACTTTATTGCCTGGGGCAACACCAAAACGCAGTACAGAGCCTGTTGCTAAAGGGGTGGCGGGAAAGCAAATGTGCTTATCCACACCACAGGCGAGAAATACTACACAGGGGTGCCGTGAGCACGTCTCCGTGGGCAAAAGTGATTCACAATGACACCGGGACGACAGTGTTCGGTCGCTTGAGCGAGGGCAAAACTCCACTCGCATTGGCTTCGAGAGATACGGGTCGGTGTAGTACGACCACGCGCAAAGATACCGCACCGCTCCTCGCCCTAGCGTTCGAAAGGGGCAACAAAAGTTGAGCGTTCGCCGCAGGCGCAAGGTGCTGTTGGCGAAGGCAGACCAGCCTCAAACAATAGGAGCCGACGGACAGGAAAGAAATGCATGCTCACTCTAGGTTGTCCCGGAAATATATGACTCACTCCTGACGCGCGTGCGCGAAACGTGCTGAGAAACTTTGCGCACGGCACCACAGTCGACATCCGCTACTGGGTGAGAGGGGTTAATACTCACTCCTGCTCCCCCAGCGCGACAGACCACGGAGACGGGGAGAGTGATGTCAGGACATAGGTGGCAAAGCCCATGCAATGGCAATGGACTAGCATCAATTGCCAAATAATTTATGGCATAGCTCAAGGCAGCGACTGTTACGACCACAGACATATGCATGCTTACCAAATCTGTAGTTTTTTTCATTACACTGTCAATACAATTGAAACCTGCGATAACGAAATCACGAGAGAACGAAATTCTCACCGCAACGAAATATTTTCGGAGCACCGGCTAACGCCCATAGGATTCAATGCATTTTGTAACTCGCGACTAGGAGAAATGTTCATACCGCAGTCCCTCATCAATGAAATTTTTGAAGCACGAGTGTACAAATAATCTACTCTTGGAACATTTACATTTGAAAACTGCTGAAATGCATTCATGCTACACTTAAATTGTGCAAAACTATCGTTAAGCGCACTTGAGAAGCAGCCGTTATCATTGTTTAAAAAAAAAAAAAACTTAAAGCTTGCGACAATGATGATGATGATGGATTGCCGAAACATTTGCTCGTTATCGCGGACTGCGTACGTAGCCAAAGCCACAATTCTCATGGAGTGTCGTTCGTTGGCTTGGCTCTCTGCTTGGCTTTGTCGGCTTTGCGCACACATGGTCGCATGTGTGGAGCCATTTGTGGAGAGTTTGCTTGGTCGCTTGGTGCTACGTGAACTGTGTGTTGTGATTGATTCATCCGATTTCGCTGCCTGCGAAGATGTCGCCCCCAACGAAAAAGCGGAAGTTCCTCATGCTGGAAGATAAGGCTGCAATCCCCAGCGAGGTGGAAATGGGCAAAAAAAAGAATAGACATCGCCGAAGAATTTGGCGTTGCTTGCAGCTCGTTGTCCACGATTCTCAAAAACAAGGCCTCCATTCTTAGTGCACTTGAAAACGGCACGAGTGCAAGAAACAAAACTGTGACGGCTGCAGCGTTCCCGGATGTGGACAAGGCGGTGTTCGCGTGGTTTTGTGAACAGTGTGCCAACAAGGTGCGTTTATCTGGCAGGATCCTGCAACAGAAGGTGCCGGACTTCGCTTGTATGCTAAGCCACGACATTTTTGAGGTGAGTCCCGGCTGGCTGAGCAGTTTCAAAGATCGCGATGACATCGTGGCCAAAGTCATCTCTGGGGAGGCAGCAGCCGTTGATTCGGTGGCAACGTCGTTGTGGCTGCTGAGCAACAAAGAACTGCTCGGCCAGTACAAGCCCTCGGACATATATAATGCCGATGAAACGTCATTGTTTTATGACATGCTGCCATCCAAGACCTTGGACTTTAAAGGCCCATTATTTTATTACATGCTGCCATCCAAGACCTTGGACTTTAAAGGCCCATTATTTTATTACATGCTGCCATCCAAGACCTTGGACTTTAAAGGCCAGAAGTGCCATAGTGGCAAGCACAGCAAGCGGCGCGTGACGATTTTATTGTGCTCCAACGTGAATGGCACAGATAAACGGCCTCTGCTCGTTATTGGCAGGAGCAAGAAGCCCCGCTATTTCAAGGGGAATCGCAGGCTGCCAGTAAGCTACACCGCGAACTTGAAGTCATGGATGACGCGGGCTATTTTTAGCAGCTGGCTCCAGTCCTTCAATGTCGACATGCGGAAGGCAAACAGGTCAGTCTGTCTTCTCGACAACTATAGCGCCCACCACGTCGACGTGCAGCTCGGAAACATGCACCTGGTGTTTTTCCCACCAAACTGCACTTTGTTGCTGCAGCCTCTCGATCAGGGAGTTATTCGCAGCGTGAAGTGCGCTTACTGAGAGGCTGATTCAGTGTTCGCAGTGTGAAGTGCGCTTACTGAGAGGCTGATTCAGTGTTTGCTGCTGAATATACATATGAAGCGTTCCACTGACGTGGACTTGTTCATGGCGCTAGAGATGATCGCCGCCGCATGAATTGCGACGAGTCCAGCCGTGATAACGAATTGCGTCGCACACGCTGGCCTTGTCACTCCGCAGGCATCATGCACTGATCCAGCAGAACCAAAAAAAGGTTCGCCTGTAGATGCACTAGATGACGGTACTGGTAACAGCGCAGTGCTGCCGTCATTGACCAGTGCATGGGGCGAACTTTGTGCCGTGGCAAATGAGATTCCCGATGGCCTCGGCGTTCATGAGTTCGTTAGCATGGACGAAGGCGTTGTCGTGCACGAAGAAGTGACTGATGAAGCCATCGTCAGTAGCGTGTGCGAGGCGGCCGATCCCGATGAGCAACGATTGGAGCAGCCAGAGAATACAACAAGTCTGCAGGATGTACTGAATGCCTTCGACACAATTCGCATGTTTTTCGGCGAGCACGACGATGACGTGGCGATGGACTATTTCCTACAGTGTGAGTCGAGAGGCATGAAATTGCTCCATGGTAAGGCCCACCTAAGTAAACTTACCGACTTTTGGAAATGAAATGGTTTTTGTAAATTCTCTGTCTTTTCTGCCGTATTCTCGCGCCTACGAAATTCCCGCAAGAGTGACATTTTGTGCTTTCCCCGCCGATTTTGTTATTGCGGGTTTCAACTGTACTACCATGTGCCTCTTTTGTGGTAATGAGCGTGCTCCTTGCATTAGTGGCTTTGTTCAGGACGGCCTCTAGCTGAATTTTGTCGTATCTCCGTCATCTCTTGCTCTCTCTTTTATCTGTTCCCTTCCTCGCCTTGCTTGTCTGTGAGCTCAAATGGAAGAACTCCTTCAAGCACCGCCATCAATTGATTACTTTAAGACTGCTGCTCACATAAGACCTTCAGCTATGCATAGGGGTAGAGGCAACCAGAAAAAAATATAGTTGTTTTTCCCCTAACGGAGCATCTCTCTGCCTGTCCCTTTGCCTGAAATGTGTGTAGTGTAAGATACCTTCTATACATTCACTGGAGTTGCAGTGGCTCTTCCAGTGCTTAGTGTGCACCAAGCTTAGCCATAAGGTCAAATTCTGAAACTTTTCATAAGTCTTTTTGCTGATGTGCCCTTAGCAGAGGCTTTCTTGGAGCTTCGTTACCCTAACATAGCTTCTAACCTACATTCAAACTTAGTTTTCCAGTTTTTTTTTTTTTTTTTCATTGAGGGTCCTCGGTAGTCATTCTCTGCTCGTTTCACTGACCAGAGGCTTCTCAGCAATTCCTGACTGCATGTTGCTCATCTACGAATATGCAATAAGTTCTCTCCAGCTGAAAGGCTAGTCGAAAATTATAACAATCTCTGGCATATTGTGAGGGTGGCCGAGAGAGGGCGTTACGTGACGGCGTCATCATCATCGGGACTTGGCCGAGAGAGGACACTACGTGACGGCGTCATCATCATCATTGGGACTGGAGTGGTGGGGGTTGCGTGTGTTGGGAAGGGGGAGTTCGGGCTGGTTGGAAGGAGTGGCAAGACGTAGTGTGTGGTGAGCGAGTTAGGGTTAGCGCGTGACAAGTGGGGGCTCGTCCGGGATGGCTTCAGGCCCGACAACAGCAGCGGACGACATGCCTAGGCTCCAAGGTCTCGTTGAAGAGCTGTTGCTGGGCACCGACGGCTCCGCCATGGAGCGCGAACGCCATGGAGTGCCATGGAACGCCATGGATTCGTTCGCGCTCCATGGCGGAGCTTAAGCTCCGCCATGGAGCGCGAACGAATCGCGGCGGTCGTGCGCGATCGAGTGATGGCGACGCCGCTGCCCACGGCTCCGCACGTGGGAGCATGGACTGGGGCCGCTAACACTGGCGCGGCCCCTCGGGCCACCGACGACTCTGCGCCTCGGCTCGCCGCTGCGCACCTCCCCCGCTACTCCGGTGCTAGAGACTTGCAGTCGCCGGAGGAGTTTTCTCGAACGTTTGGAAAACTTCTGCCTCGTGACGGGGGTCGCCGCCGATAAGCGACTGACACACGTGGTACCGGCTGCCCTCGAGGGTGGCGCGAAGTTGTGGTGGCGGTTCGTGCGCGGGTTCGACTCGTGGGAGCAATTCACCGCCGCCTTCCGCTCAGAGTTCTCGTCGATTGACGCGAAGCGTCGCCTGAAGGCGGAGCTCGAACAGCGCACGCAGCACCCGGAAGAAAATTTGAAAGAGTTTATATATGCGATCGCTACTTTTTACGACCGCATCGGGGAAGAGGTCTCCGAAGCCGAGAAGGTGCAGCGCGTACTGAGGCAGATGCACCCTCAGTTGCAAGATTTGGCGGAGGGGCATGTCTACAACGACCTCGCCGAGTTGGCGAAGGCAGCCGACGGCCTAATGGAGCGGGCTTGGCGTCGCCTCCAGTACAGACCACCGCCACTTCCGAGAAACCAAGTAGCCAGAGATCTGGCGTTCCGCCCTAGCCAGGCCCCCGACCATCGCTCACTGCCGCAGCCGAACACTATGGCGACGGCGTCGTTCGCTTCGTTTGCTGCTGCCCCACCGGCACCGCCGACTTATCACTGGCCACTGCATCCAGCTGCGCTAGACCCGTCGTACTGCCGGGACCGGCAGTACTCGTGCGACACAGTGCCTCCGTTCTCACCCTACGGGCCAGGACCGATGCCGCGGCAGGAGCCCGCGAGTGGAGCAATGCGTGTGCAGTGCCATCGCTGTGGTGGATTCGGCCACATATCTCGTAACTGTGTCACGGGTCGACGAATGGGGCCACCCGTTTGCTTCCGGTGCCAGCGATCGGGCCACCTGCAAGCACAGTGCCCGGGAAACCAGTGGCGGTAGGTGCTGCCCCGGCGGGCACCTACGGCAGTGCGCACCAAGTAGCGACCACAGCCGGTGGCAAAGAGCCCCTTATGGACGTCCGTATCGGGTCGTCGACGTTCAAGGCCCTGCTAGATACAGGCTCAAGTGTAAGCTTCTTCGGACCGCACGCCGCGGCGGTGGCCCAAGCTTCTGGAGCCAAACCCAAGGCAGACGTACGCGTGCTGCGTTTGGCATCAGGCTGGTCGCAGTCAACCATGTCTCTGAAGTGCCAGATCGAGTGGGCTGCCGGTTGCCGCAGACAGCAGTTTTTGTGCGTTCCTGACCTGTGCCGTGACGTTGTCCTTGGTAGAGATTTCCTGACGGTGAGTGGCATCTCTCTGCACGTGTCACTTGGTGGGTGGACTGTTGGCACAGAACCACAAAGAATTGTGCCGTTTGTCAAGGCCGTTAAGGAACAGCCAGAGGCAGTGGATGATTTTGGAGACAGTCTGCGCTGCATTTTTGCTGAGAGCGATGCCACTGTGTGTGCCAGTGTGCCGGAGGCGACTGCAGCCTGCAATGTGATCATTTCCGGCCACTCGTCGGACCTAGACTCACGCATGAAAAACATTTTAGAAGAGTTCAGCGAAATCTTCACCACAACTCCGGGCTGCACAACCCTGGCAGAGCATCGCATAGACACGGGAGACAACCCACCTGTTCGATGCAAACTGCGACCAGTGAATTCCAAGAAGCAGGCCATCATGGACAACTGCATTCAAGACCTGCTGGCACAGAACCTCATCCGCCCTAGCCAAAGTCAGCATGCCAGTGCTCCAGTCCTGGTTGAGAAGAAGTCTGGTGGCTACCGCATGGCTGTGGATTACCGCCAGCTAAATGCACGCACTAAGGTGCCAGTCTACCCCATGCCGAGGACTGATTGGTTGCTGGCACAGCTGGGACGAGCCAGGTGGTTCTCAAGTTTTGATCTTTCACAGGGTTTTTTTCAAATCCCTGTTCAAGAGCAAGATATTCCAAAGACAGCGTTCATTTGCCATCGAGGAACCTTCGAGTTCATGAGAATGCCCTTTGGAGTTGCCGGAGGTCCTGCCACGTTTCAGACCCTGATGGACCGACTACTGGAGGGAATTAATCACCAGTTTGCCATGGCGTTTCTCGATGATGTCCTGGTGTATTCGGAGGCCCTAGAGGATCATCTTGAGCATGTTCGGGAGGTGTTGGAGCGGATAAGTTCGGCACAGCTGACCATTAACCCAGAGAAGGTGCACGTGTGCTGTCAATACCTTAAGTTCCTTGGCCATGAAATATCGCCCGGGCAGTGTAGGCCGGACAAGGAAAAAGTGCGAGCGGTGCTGGACTATCCTCAACCAACAACACTCAAACAGCTGCAGGCCTTCCTGGGACTAGCAGGCTATTACAGAGGGTTCATACCTCAGTTTTCTATCACTGCACGTCCACTCACAGAACTCCTTAAGAAAAAGCAACGTTGGCGGTGGGAGCTGCAGCAAGAGGAAGCCTTTAGAGCACTTAAGCAGTCCCTAGCTGACGATGTTGTTGTAAACTTGCCGGACCTCAACAGACCATTCGTGGTGGAAACAGACGCCAGTGGAGTCGGCATTGCAGCGGGGCTTCTGCAGGCAGCCGAGAGTGATGCTCAACTGCGTCCAATAAGCTTCATTAGCAGGGTCCTCACTGAGGCAGAGCAGCGCTATACAGTGCAAGAATGGGAGTGTCTGGCTGTGGTGTGGGCAGTGGACAAGTTCCGACCATACCTTGAGTTCACCGAGTTTGAGGTACACTGTGATCACTCCTCGCTATCCTGGATGTTCACCACAGACCAGGCCTCACCACGTGTAAAGCGTTGGGTTTTGCGGCTGCAAGGTTCCAACTGCAGAATCAAGCACAGGCGGGGTCTTGCAAATGTGCCAGCCGACGCCTTGAGCAGAGCTCCCCTTCAGCACCAGGAAGTTCCAAGCCCGAGTCTACACGAGACGTTGTTCCCTATGGCTGTTCCAGAGCCCAGCCCACAAATCAGCTTTGAGGCATCTGAAGTGGACGACACTACTGTCTTGAATGATGCAGGGCTCCTCGCCCAGGAACAAGAGCAGGACCCCATACTGTCAAAACTACGAACTGTGATGAAGGGAGGGAAGCTTCCGCCCACTGACAGTGATCAACCTTTGATAAAAGACCTGGCGGAGACGACCGAGATGGAAGAGAGTGGGTTGCTTGTACAGCACCGAGGGAACAGGAAAGTACCTTGGCTACCAAACCATCTCTGCAACTTGGTCCTGCGATTGTCCCATGACCACCCGATTAGCGGCCACTCCGGCTTTTCTAAGACCCTCAAACGCGTTTCTCAGAATTTCGTGTGGCTGGGTATGCGCTCGGACATATCCAAGTATGTGCGATGCTGCCAGGTTTGTCAGTGCACCAAAGCCCACCGGCAGAAGCCAGAAGGGCTGATCAGCAGTCAATGGGCCACTGCCCCTATGGAACAGCTCAGCGTGGACATAATTGGGCCCTTGCCTATGACGCCTCGACGCCACAAGTACCTTCTCATGGTGATTGACAAGTTCACCAAGTTCATTGAACTTTTTCCATTGCGGGCAGCAAACAGCAAGAGTGTGGTGGCCTGCATGATCCAGGTTTTTTGCAGACATGGCACACCTGTCTCCATTTCAAGTGATAATGGAAAGCCGTTTGTAAGCAGGTTGTGGAAGGGCCTCCTTGAGCATTGGGGCATACAAGACCGACACACTGTTCCGTACCGCCCTGCCGGGCAAATGGTGGAGTGCCACAATGGCATTAGCCTTCTGTCAAACTTAAATGTGCAAGCAAACTTTTATATGTTTGGCCTCCAAGATTTTGGATTCAGAATAGAATTGCCCTTGTGCTTGAAGAAGCATAGGCATACTGAGAACAATGGTTCTTTATTAATACTGCTGTGTCGTTTACCTCCTTTCTCAAATAAGAAAGTCTGGAACATATTAAGAGTTCATTTCCCCTCATTGCTTTCTTTTTTTTTTTACACAACCAAAAATAATCATTCTGTACTTCTCATGATGCCCAAAGAAAAAAAAAATGCGACTCTAAAATGCTTAAAGAACAGTTCCTTATGCTTATTTCCTGTACTGTATAGTCATTAAAGAACTTGTATCGTGTGTGAAGATTAGGAAGTTCAAGCTCAGTCTACTGTGCATACGTGCATTGTAAAAAAATGGCTGGAGACTTGTCCGCTATAACTTCAATGTAGCTGTAGCAAGTGGGCTATTGCAGGAAAAAATAGTATGATTAACATGATCTGGCATTGATTAACATTTGAAACTCCTCTGTGGTTCTAGTTACACATTTTGAGTAACTAAACAATATAATTAGCATTCACAGCTATGGAGATGGACTTTCTTTGCCAATCATATTTGGCAGACATCATGTGTGATGTAGATTCTTTAGGTTAGCTTGCTCTCTACAGCATATAACAAAGCATTAACACCATGTCTACTTGTGTCAAAAGCTTCTCCTGTGTCACTGAGGCACTCTGTAAGTTGTGTTACACAGCTTGCCTCTAGTTATGTGCATTGCATTGCTCTCACTTCATGTTTGCCCCCTCCCTCTCCACATTCTCTACTTTTTCTTTGATTTCTTCACTTGCCTTGTGAGTCAATCACTACATCACTCCTCTTTTTTTTTTTCCTTTTTCAGCTACATGATTGACCGTTCGTCTGACAAGAAGCGACAGTTCAAGATTAATCCTAATGGTGTTGTTGAAATTCAGCGAACACTTGACAGAGAGGACATTCCGAGACATCAAGTCAAGATTCTGGCTATTGATGATGGTCAGTATTAATGACATCATCTGCTCGTGATAGGGTGTGTTTGAAGGTCTGGCAGAGTATAATGTAGTTGGAGCAAATGGCTTTCCTTGTGTTAATACATTTAGGCTGCACATACAATTTAATAATTAACAAAGTAAAAGTTTTACCCGAAGATGTGGCTTTTCAACCATGTGAAACATGTTGCCACTGAGCTCAGTTTTCAAGTGTGCAAGTGTGTCTCTACGTTATCAGTTAAAATTCAAAATGCCTTTGCAGGTGTGCCTTCACGGACAGCAACCGCAACATTGACTGTCGTAGTTAGTGACATCAACGACAACCCACCCAGATTCCAGTATGACTACAGGCCAGTCATTCCAGAGCACACACCTCCCCAGAAAGTGCAAGAGATTTTGGCCACTGATGATGACGATCGTTCTAAAAACAACGGCCCTCCATTTACTTTCCGCATGGATCCCAATGCCCCAGAGCTTATTCAGCAGTTCTTCAGAGTGGAACATGACCCAAGTACGTTGTCTTATAGTGTTCTCAATGTGTGCTTTATAAAGTGTTGTCTTTTCTTTCTTTCTTTTTGTATGTGTGTGATCTACCTAGTTGGTTTAACTAGATGGTATCGGGATGTTTGCTCTTGGTATTATTGTCTAGTAAATAACCCAGATTACAGACGGTACTGTTTGTGTAACTGTTTCATGTACTTGCATAAATTGTGACCTAATTTTGTTCTTATAGCTGGTGCGAATGGAGATGGTATGGCTGTGGTGCGATCTCGAGAAACATTTGACCGAGAGACGCAGAAGGAATATTTGGTTCCCATTCTTATCAAGGACAATGGAAACCCATCTCTCACGGGGACGTCTACTCTCACTGTCATTATTGGAGATGTTAATGACAACCGCATGCACCCTGGCAGCAAAAGCATCTTTGTGTACAACTTCAAGGGTAAGTATTGCTTTGGAGTAGCTGTTTTTTGCAAATGCATTATGTTCAGGCTGGCAGATGTGCCAGCCACAGTGTATCAATGGGTTCATGACCATGCATGACTTTAGCAACAGCGTCATGCATCGTAATACATTTTTTAGGGGCGAAGCTCCTTAGGGCGTGGGCTGTGCGTCCCCTGTAGCCTGTATGTAGCCACCTCTCGTTTAGTTCTTGCAGTGTCCACTAGATGGCGGTACCGTCTCCTGTATGTCGCCTCTTCTCGTTTAGTTCTTGCAGTGTTCACTAGATGGCGGCTCCGTCTCCTGCATGTAGCCACCTCTCGTTTAGTTCTTTCAGTGCTCACTAGATGGCGGGACTTGTAGCTGATGATGAAAAGATGCAAGATGTTATAAACTAGATGGCGGTACTTGTAGTTGATGATGAAAGATGCGAGATGTTATAAAATAGGAATGATTTTCACATATGGCACGTGTCATTGGTGGAAGGCAATCGTTCGATTTAGTGCGGCGACGTACGCTAGGGGGAGCATTGTAATAAAATCGAGTAGGCAAAATGTACGGAAGATTCATGGTTTACCAGGTTTTCCTCTAGAGCTTCGCCCACTCATCATCATTCACTTCGTGGATATGGCGGCACTTTTTCATTTTGGCCTGTGATATATATGTGCATATTCACTTATTCACTGCCTCATTATGCTGCAATTGGTATCTTGAAAACAGGGGAGTCTCCACCAACAAAAATTGGACGCATTCATGTTGAGGACCTGGACGATTGGGACTTGCCTGATAAGACATTCTTTTGGGAGAATAATAATGCTCATCCTAACTTCGACATGGATGGCCACACAGGCATGATCACTATGCTCAACTCAACAGGAGCTGGCACCTATCATTTACGCTTCTTAGTGTACGACCGTATGCATACAATGGATGCCCATGCCAACGTGACAGTAACTGTCAAAGAAATCCCTGAGGAAGCCATCTACAATTCTGGCTCCATACGCGTCACTGGTAAGTTAGTTTCTTCAGTGGAACCTATTGCTGAAGCTAAAGTTCTGGACAAAAAGCGAGTTTTCAATCTTGTTATTACCAATTTTTAGGCATTACTGATGAAGATTTTATAAGGGTTTGGGACTGGAAAAAGCAACGACAAGTGAAAAGCAAATATGAAATCTTTCGAGATCTGATTGCTGAGCGAATCAAGACAAAGCCGTATAATGTCGACATCTTCAGCGTCATCCTCAAGCAGTCACGCCCACCTATAACTGATATACGGTTCTCTGCTCATGGTTCTCCATATTACAAGGCCAGTTTACTAAATGGTGTGATTGCAGTGAATCGGCGAGAGGTAAGCTAAATTTTTTCAATGACCTTGTTTTGTCTTTTGTCACTCAAAAGAGCTGCATTTCTTAGCTCTCTGAGTTGTATGGAAAGCACTAGTGACAGCATGTAGCAGCTTTGAATTCTATGGCTTATGAGTTTTTGCTGCATGAATGAAGACCTTTTTGGACAGTCTTGCTAATTCATCTGATGCTTTCTAAAAAAAATCAGTCAGTTAGTACACAATCTTGGACTGTGGTCGAGTCTTGGAACAGGGAATAAAATGAATGTGTGGACTTGACAATGTGCTTTTTGTCAGTTTTTGTAAAGATGCACTCTTTTTTTTTCACAGATTGAAGAGAAAGTGGGCATTAACATTACTATGGTGGGCATTGATGAGTGCCTCCTGGAAAATCACAATTGTGAAGGTAGCTGCACTAATGTGCTTATGATTGATCGTAACCCTGTAATGGTGAACGCTAATCGAACATCCTTTGTGGGAGTGAATACTTGGGTGAAGGCAAAGTGTACGTGTGGTGCTCGAGACTTTTCCGACATCGAATCCTGCCGCAAAAGACCTCCTCCATGCTACAACAATGGCCGTTGTGTCGACACATATACAGGAATCAGGTGTGTAGGCTAATGCTTTTTTTTTTAAACATGGATGGTTATAAGAAACTTAAATGTAGTGTGCACTATTTAATAACTTCAGTGACTGTATTTATCTGTGGCAAAGCTATTATAGTTTCTTTAGAAATACATTGATAGAGAGAGTTAGTTCAGAGGGCTCTATCTATATATTACATGGAAACAGAGCTTTTCTTTCTTGAAAAGCAGTGCATGGAACTTGTCGCGATTTCTTACTCTTAAAATGTTTATGGTGGCTGCATAAAACTGAAAGTGGAAAAATTGAAGTAAGTGTCAAGTTTAAAAGTAATGCTAAGAAAAAAAAAAGTATCATAATTTGTGAGATACCACTAAAAATACCACAGTCAAAGTGGACAATATTATTATCTTACATTACTATAAAACACCACTAGTTTGTGAGTAAAGCTTTAACGAATATCTTGTGAATCTTTGTAATAATTTGACATGAGCTTTAAATTTGTACTTACCTATATCAGAGTTGTCCACATTAGTTCATTTCCCTTGGCCTGGCTTAGTCAGTGAGTTGTTAGCCATATTGAACTTACACAAAGTATGTTCTAGTTATCTGTTATTCAAATATTCTAAAGATAGTACTAGCTGCACACAGATTTTCAAAGTGCAAATTTCATTACCTCGTTTTTTCTGCTGAACTTCCTGTTCGAAAAATTATAATAAAAAAAAATACATCACATCACATCCTGTGCTTACCGTGCTTGTGTTATATTGGCCTATTACAAACCAAAAACAAGCCCTGGGCTCTCAGCCCAAGTTTGAGTATGGCCTGGGCTCTCTGGCAAGATCAGAAATAAAATGAGATCTAAGTTCAATTTAAGCACGCACAAGACTACACAGTGCCCTACTAGGAAGAGATATTTTTTAAAGTATTGTTAACGTAATGTGATTGGCTGTTTACCATGTTAGTTTTAACAGAAACCTGTGTGCAAGTGTTCAAGCGAAACACACACCATAATTTTCTCTCTTCTTTAGGTAACATTAACTTATTCTTTAATATGTGTTACATTCATTCTTCTCTTTGTTACGACAAGGCAAAGCATATCACCCAAAATAATATTCTTGTTCTATTCACTATATCTGCTTTCTCTGATGGCTGTGATGTTTGATGCAGCTGTCGGTGCCAGTCTGGATTCCATGGACCACAGTGTCAACAAACTACACGACATTTCAATGGCAAGGGCTGGGCTTGGTTCCCTCCTTTACAGCAGTGTGAAGACTCCCATCTGAGCCTAGAGTTTATGACAGAGCGCCCAACCGGACTACTGTTGTACAATGGGCCTATCTCCCGGCCTGACCCAGGGGAAATAGTCATTCAAGACTTCATTTCTCTGGAACTCAATGCAGGAAGGCCTAGGCTGCTTTTAGACTTCGGTTCTGGCACAGCAGAACTCTTTGTTGATGTTGAGGAGCATCTCAACAATGGCAATTGGCACCGACTGGATGTGTTTTGGGACCGACAGGTGATGAACATTTCATAGTACCATATTTTCTTGCTTATAGCCCACACAAAGTATGCAAAAAAATTCGGAGCTGTAGTGGGAGTGCAAGTAATATGGAAATAGCAATGTAAAAAGTTGCCTTCACGGCTTTGTTTCACAGTAATGCAACAAAGGTGGCTTCATCGCAATACACAACTTTTGTGCGTATATAGATATGGAAAAAAAGTGTATACTTAAGGGCTCGTTTTTCCGTGTTTTGACACTATAATAATGAAATCTAACAGACAATAATGCCAAGGAAAGTATAGGGGAGGTTATTAGACCGAATTGTAAGGTAAATGTGAAGAAAGAAAAGTTGGTTAAAACATAACTTGCCGTGGGCAGGAACCGAACCTGTGATCTTCGAATAACGCGTTCGATGCTCTACCACTGAGCTACCATGGCAGCTATCCTCCCAGCCACTTTATTGGGTATATATGTGAATTTAAACGTGGGAGTGTCAGTCAGTGCCAACTGTAGCCATGGCGGTGAGTGGGGCATACTCTTCCTGAGTCTGTGTGGCGTCGCGTAGCACGTGAAATCATTACGAGCTGGCAGCTGACCAATAAATAGTCCCTCGTATACAACCTAAGGCACCAAGTCTGCCAGTGTGAGACCCTCGTTAATGAATAAGGGAAAGAAGTGTATACTTAAGGGATCGTTTTCCGTGTTTTGACACTATAATAATGAAATGAAAGTGATTTTTTTCAGGCACTTTTTCTTTTCTTCACATTTACTTTACAATTCGGTCTAATAACCTTCCCTATACTTTCCTTGGCGTTATTGTCTCTTAGATTTCAATATATATAGTTAAACCTGAATATAACCAAGTAGGCAAATTCCTGCAAAAATTTTTTATAAAGAGAATTTCATTATGTGCAGGTTTAGTATGAAAATTTATAAAATAAACAGAAGGGGAACCGAAGGCTGAGCTAATCCAAATCTTTTATTTAGTAGTAAAAACTGCATTTTTATTGCAATAGCAATGAAATAGACACTCTTGCCAGGTTTTCGCCGTCGCTGCCTTGTTCTGTAACAAGTCCTAGATTAAATGCCCCTGGGCACAGTAACTTTTATTAGTGGGTAAAAGCGCATGAGTGCTGCTCATGCGCTTTTACCCACTTCTAAAAACACGAGGGGGGGGGGGGGGGGGGGTTGCTAGAGTAGCAACAGCTATTGAACTTTGATTTCAAGGGTGCGGTTGTGATTGCTGGCGTGATTGCTGGCGTGATTGCATTATTTTCTGGTGATGTTGGCGGGGAATAAAATGAAACACATTAGGCCGAAAAACATATTATGCAGAATTGTATCAGTAAGATTCCACTGTATAATTAAATCATATATTTTATATCAACAGATTTAACAATCAGGGTAACTTTGAACACTAATTGTAGCAATGAATTGCCTGATGTTTTGCTCTATTTGTTTTGACTGCAGTGGCACCAGTGAGTAAACTTAACTTTATGACCTTAAAGCATTTCTTAAATGTAAGTAAGGAAAGCATTTTCCTTCTTTTTTGGCACTGCAAAAGCTACCTCGATTACAGACCGTGTAACTTTTTCCTGCATTTCTTTTAGCTGGCTTCCTTCAAAAATGCATTGATTGCGCATATTTTCGTTAGGGTGGTCATGCAAAGCCGCACAAACAGTTGTCAGTATTGGAGCAAGAGGGCAGTTAAAAAAAGAATTACGTTGGTTGTATATGCCATTCTTCATTCATATGTGCTTCAGGCAATACTGTAATGAAAAATTAACAATTTACTGTTTGTTGTATCAACTATTGGAGCAATTAGGTTTATTTGTTCATGTTGGTATAGCTTTCAACATACAGCATTGCTGTTATGCAAATATTTTGATGTTTTGAATTTTGAACTGTTATGCTTAATTCTTTATAGTGTTTAATGCTGTTAGTGTGTGATCATTATTGCATTCTTTTTTCTTTCAGTCTGTACGATTAATGGTTGACAACTGCATGCTAGCACGAACTCACGAGGGAAATCAAACCATTGATCGATCCCGTTGTGAGAATAGCACTCAGGTGCCGGAGTTCAACGAGTTCCTGAACGTAAATACTCCACTTCAGTTGGGCGGAACTCATGTTGGGGGCAAAGACCTTGGTGCATATGCTTGGCGGCATCGACATACCACAGAGGGATTTCAAGGCTGTATTAAAAATGTTGTCCATAACAGTGAGGTGAGTGTAGTTTGCTTATCAGTCTTGCTAGTTGTGCGATCTTTAGTAGAAGTAGTCAAAGTGAAGTTATGGTATTGGAGCAGTGTTATTGTCCTCACGTTTTTCGTTTTTTTTTGCAGTACTGTTGACGGCCCTTTTTAATGACAAAAACAGGATGTATTTTAATCTGTGCAGTCCTGCACAGAATGAGACCTGCTTTGGTGGTCTTGTGGTTATCTGTGTCAAGGTGTAGCTGTGGACCTCCTAGTAATGATTCACTACTGCTAATGCAATGGAAAGGCAAATAAATATTCCTAATATTGATTAAGAGAACCAGTATAAAGTGTGATTGAAAACTGGTGCAAAGCCCGGCAATGGATCTTCTTATTGGTTGGTACAGCGCCCTTAGCGGAGAGAGCTAAAAGCGAATTTGATGACTTTCCGGTCGACGCAACAGCATGACAGCTTGTACGTTCCTTTGCATACATGGATGAGCTACAAGATGGTGTGTTTAGCAGGTGTCAAAGGTCGCGAGCCACCAAAAATATTTTGGGGGTCGCACCGTTGGAGTGTTTCCAGTGCACATGCGCAGAAGGTGCCCATGAAAAAGGTCCATTCGTAGCTCTGGCAGGGCTGCTGTGAGGCCACCTTGTGCAGTCACACCCCGTCTGATAACGTAGCCTCACGAAGTGATGACCAAGGTTTCAGCTAGCATTTCGTCTGCTAGGCGTGCACGTGTAGTTGTGTATTCGTCACAACTGTTGTCGTCGTCGCCTTCATCAGTGTCTACAAGTGATGAAGAAAGCACTGAGGAATTGGAAATCGCTGGGATTCGCAATGTTGTGAATAACTTTCGCTTTGATTCTTAAACATACATTTTTGGCGCTAGTCCTAGAATCAACGAGAAGGCACCTGAAGACGCCGAGTTTGACCACATTGGCTGGCAAGAACATATAACAGGAAGAAATGTGGAAAGGACAAGGGCTCCTCTCCGGTCCACTAAAAATAGGCGGTACAGTGGCTAAAAACAACAAACAATTTATTCAATGCAAATGGCGATCGCCTTGAAGGTGCAATATGTGCGCACTGTTCATAATTTTTTACGTGTCTGCAAATTCTTTCACTATGCTAAGCTCGCCTTCATTTGCCACCCGCCCAACCACACACACATATGCTGTCGATGCTCTGTGTTTCTTGTCACTAGCCAGGCATCTGTGCTGGCACATTTCAGCCATGTTGCTGCCCCGCCACGGTGGACTAGTGGCTAAAATACTCGGCTACTGACCTGCAGGTGGCGGGATCGAATCCCGGCTGCGGCGGCTGCATTTTCCGGTGGAGGCTGTTGCGACCAGGGCTCATGGGACCGGGGATTCGAGATCAAGATGTCGAGGCAGGAGGAGGTGGAGCTTCGTAAATAGGGTTTATTTACATTATTTACATGGCACGGGCTCTCTGGCCCGAAGCTCTACATTGAGAGCTCTACATTTAAAAAGGCTGTCTCTTGAACAAGCTCCGTGAACCACACTAAGCAGACCGCGAGAGTCGATTAAATACAGTCTTATTTCCCTAGATCGGGAAACAGGTTCATATGGCACTGTCCAATAACATGTCCCGCAGCACACACGAGTGTCATTATGGTGGCACCGCCCCCAACAAACACACATACACAAACCAGACACGTGTATGGTCCCGGTGATGCTGCCTCGTTCGACGAATCTTGCTTGAGTGGGGTGAAACAAGTCTCTCATCTCGCCGCTCAGGGCGACCACCCAAGCTTTGTCGAACTGCAGTAGCGGTCTAGGCGCCATGGAGGGGCCATGCCTGGACATCTGGTGCTGATTTGAGCGTCGGCGGCTCATCTGTCGGAGACGCACAGTGTGATGGTACGGCGTCCGTAATCAGCAGAAGCTCGGCATTGTGGCTTTTACCGGGGCACGAAGACGCTACGTGTCGCATCTCTGCGTGGACCCGAAGGACAGCGGTGCTCCGTAGAGCGATTTCAGCCACGCAGCACCCAGCACATAAAAACAGCAGGGCGTCTTGGTGCTGCTCCTTATCTCGAAAAAATGACGAGGCGGGTGCCTTTCTTCCTTTCTGGCGGCCGCGGCAATAGAGTGGCCCGCCAAACACAAGTTTGTCCATCGGCGGGAAACTAGCGACCTGAAGGTGACCAGCCGTACAGGTTGCCCAAAGCGTCGTCGTTTGGTGGGGTCATCCAGGCCACTGCCAATGACGCAATAGGCAATCTTCAATCATCCATGGGCCTTTTCTCCCTGGGATTACACAGATATACACACAACCACAAACACGGGAGAGCACTCTACCCGCACTTGAGACACATCGAGTCCAAAGATATTCTAAAACCAACCTTCCTTAAGTATTTTGATCAAACACAAAACAGCAGTCGGATCATTTCTCTGAGTTTTCGCCGAAGCTCCCAATCCCAACACAAGAATAATATTCTCCTAAACTTGTTTTAAGAAAATAAACAATCAATCGATGTGTTCTCCGTGGCATGCTTGTGTTCCAGCGTTAGTAATCCGCTGTAACTTACCAGGCCTCATACAGTAGAAGCTCGTTAATTCGGATTTCACGAGACCGGAAAAACTGTCTGAATTAACCAAATGCCAAATTAACGAATGAACAAAGAAAACAACATTTAAAATCAAGCTGCAGAAGCATACCTTTATTTGTTGAAGTATTTTGTAATTGTCGTTTGCGTTTTCGCGCAGATTCGGGCTGACATCACAATTTTTCTTAACTGTTTCAAAGGGCCAACAGCACGCAAGCTGTCGGGAGTGTTCAGGCAAGCGTCCTCTAATATTAACAGCGCTTCCAAGACTTCCCGTGAGGTGCGATGAGGTCGCAGCTGTATCTCCTCGCATGATTCTTTGTCGGAATCGTGGTCTTCATGGGCGCCCGTGACATCATTAATAATCTCTTGATCGGTCAGGAGACTACTCGTGGCGACACCATGATCAATTGCGATGTAGTCCTGAAAGGTCACATCTGTGGGAAGGACAGCGTCGAAAGTCGGGCAGTCATCGTCGGTGGACTCGGCTGACACCTCCTCGATGCCATCGTCAGTTACTGCTGCATGCTCGGGCCTCACAAAACCGCTGTGCCGAAAACAGTTGGCGATGATTTGCGGCGGAGTGTTTTTCCACACGTGGGCGATGATGTGTACTGCGCCGAGTAAGTCCACTTGATACAATTTCCAGCTTCTGAGCATAGGATCATTCGCTCTAGCAGGTGCTTGCGGTACTTCGACTTCACGTAGTGAATGATACCCTGGTCCATCGGCTGAAGAGCAGACGTAGTGTTGGGCGGCAAAAAAAACTACTTTGATGCTCTTCAGTTCGACTGTACAGTTATGGGCACTGCAGTTGTCAACAACCATAATTATCTTGCGGTCCTTCGACGGGAAGTGCCGGTCCAACTGCTGCAGCCAGCCGTGAAAAATGTCCGATGTCATCGATGCCTTCCTGTTCGCTGTGTACTCGACAGGAAGGCTTTTGACGTTCTTAAAACAACGTGGCTTAAGCGCCTTCCCGACGACAAGTAGTGGCAAGCGCTCCGTGCCAGTCATATTGGCGGCAAGAAGCACAGTTGTCCTTTGCTTGCACTTCTTGCCACCAAAGCACATGTCCCCTTTGAAAGTCACCGTCTTGTCGGGCAGAGCTCTGAAAAATAGAGCAGTTTCATCTGCATTGAACACGTCACGTGGTTCATATTCGGTGATGTGCTCCAGCAGCTTCACATTTCTCCACTCGGTGGTCACGCTTTCATCAACACTGGCCTTTTCGCCACACACACTTCTGCAGACAAGTTCGTGTCTCTATCGAAACCTCGCAAACCAACTTTCTGACGCTTTGAATGATTCAATGTTCATCATTGCAGCGTACTTCTCACCTTGAGCCATGATGAGAGGTCCGCTCAAAGGCAGATGCGCGTTGCGACAGTCAGTAATTTACCGGAGCAAAGCTTCTTCGAGCTGGGGATGAGCTGCGGTTCGCAACCGCTTTCTAGAGGCATGAAACTTCTCGCTTTCGAAGGCTTGTCGAATCTGTTGTTCATTTTTCACGTACGTTCCCAACGTGCTCCGCTTCACGTTGTACTTGGTCATAACCTGCTGTCGCGATTCGCCGTTCTTCAGTGCTTCCAAAATAAAATTTCCACTTTAGTCGCCAAGTTCTTCGCGTCGTAGTTCTGCCGCTTTTTCGGCGTTGCCATCACTGTAGCGCATGATGGTGGTGGCATGCAAATACGGTCACAATGGAAGAAAAAGAGAACTCCGCAAGAAGAGATGGTTTCGACACGACAACACAAGGGAAAATGGCGTCGGAGGCGCTGAGTGGAGAAGAAAGAAGACGCCGACGTTCGGTGACGCTGCGATCACCCCCACTAGTTGATGATGATGGCGATGCCACTCAGGTTTCGGTTTCACTCCGGTGGTGCCCTGCTTTATCACATTTTTGTGTAGCAGCAGCCGTCAGCATTTGTCCGAATTAAGCGGTGCGGAGCCGAATTCCGACGAAATAACGAAGTTTTGGTCCCATAGATTAACATGCACTTTGGCCGGGACCAATAGAGCCGCCCGAATTATCCGAATTAACGGGTGTCGAATTAACGAGCTTTTACTGTACTCCTAAATAAAACCTTTTGCTTCCCGCCGTCTTATAGTCCCCAAAATTTTGTGCCGCCAAAGCTAGTCGTCAGTTTCATTTGAGCCGACCAAGGGATAACTGTCATGCTGCACCCCTATTAGTAATATCCCAACACTACACATCTGCAAACGCACGTTATAGTGATCTTGCGTGGATTAATGACTAATTCTGACTTGCGGTTACCATCATCATAGAAGCTTCACATTAATTTCCGAACCAACGAACTCGCTGTTTTCTTTACGTCCACACCGGACACATGCGAACAAAACAAAAAAATAACAATAAAAAAATTTCGCATGAATCCTGAAAAAGCTCACAAGGAATATTCTCGAGTGTCCTCCCTCACTCAAAATT